AATCAGCGGTTCACTCGATGCAGTAGGCTTATACGGGTCGAAAAAAATTATTTTCCTGATGGCCCAAAGAATCCCAAAAAAATCATAGACACTAATTCAGACCCAAATAGGAAGAATTCGATGTCAGATGCAAGAAAAAACCGTTTCCCTAGATTTTCAAAATCAGCTGTTCACTCGATGCAGTAGGCTTGTACGGGTCGAAAAAAATTTTTTTCCTGATGGCCCAAAGAATCCCAAAAAAAATCATACACACTAATTCAGACCCATAAAGGAAGAATTTGATGTCAGATCCAAGAAAAAACCCTTTCCCCAGATTTTCAAAATCAGCGGTTCACTCGATGCAGTAGGCTTATACGGGTCGAAAAATTTTTTTTCCTGATGGCCCAAAGAATCCCAAAAAAATCATAGACACTAATTCAGACCCAAAAAGAAAGAATTTGACGTCAGATGCAAGAAAAAACCCTTTCCCTAGATTCTCAAAATCAGCGGTTCACGCGATGCAGTAGGCTTATACGGGTCGAAAAAAAATTTTTTCCTGATGGCCCAAAGAATCCCAAAAAAATCATAGACACTAATTCAGACCGATAAAGAAAGAATTTGATGTCAGATTCAAGAAAAAACCCTTTTCCTAGATTTTCAAAATCAGCGGTTCACTCGATGCAGTAGGCTTATACGGGTCGAAAAAAAATTTTTTTCCTGATGGCACAAAGAATCCCAAAAAAATCATAGACACTAATTCAGACCCATAAAGAAAGAATTTGATGTCAGATTCAAGAAAAAACCCTTTCCCTAGATTTTCAAAATCAGCGGTTCACTCGATGCAGTAGGCTTATACGGCTCGAAAAAAATTTTTTTCCTGATGGCCCAAAGAATCCCAAAAAAATCATAGACACTAATTCAGACCCAAAGAAAAAGAATTTGATGTCAGATGTAAGAAAAAACCCTTTCCCTAGATTCTCAAAATCAGCGGTTCACGCCATGCAGTAGGCTTATACGGGTCGAAAAATTTTTTTTCCTGATGGCCCAAAGAATCCCAAAAAAATCATAGACACTAATTCAGACCCATAAAGAAAGAATTTGATGTCAGATTCAAGAAAAAACCCTTTCCCTAGATTTTCAAAATCAGCGGTTCACTCGATGCAGTAGGCTTATACGGCTCGAAAAAAAAATTTTTCCTGATGGCCCAAAGAATCCCAAAAAAATCATAGACACTAATTCAGACCCATAAAGAAAGAATCTGATGTCAGATTCAAGAAAAAAACCCTTTCCCTAGATTTTCAAAATCAGCGGTTCACTCGATGCAGTAGGCTTATACGGCTCGAAAAAAATTTTTTTCCTGATGGCCCAAAGAATCCCAAAAAAATCATAGACACTAATTCAGACCCAAAAAGGAAGAATTTGATGTCAGATGCAAGAAAAAACCCATTCCCTAGATTCTCAAAATCAGCGGTACACGCGATGCAGTAGGCTTATACGGGTCGAAAAAATTTTTTTTCCTGATGGCCCAAAGAATCCCAAAAAAATCATAGACACTTATTCAGACCCATAAAGAAAGAATTTGATGTCAGATTCAAGAAAAAACCCTTTCCCTAGATTCTCAAAATCAGCGGTTCACGCGATGCAGTAGGCTTATACGGGTCGAAAAAAATTTTTTTCCTGATGGCCCAAAGAATCCCAAAAAAATCATAGACACTAATTCAGACCCATAAAGAAAGAATTTTATGTCAGATTCAAGAAAAAACCCTTTTCCTAGATTTTCAAAATCAGCGGTTCACTCGATGCAGTAGGCTCATACGGGTCGAAAAATAATTTTTTCCTGATGGCCCTAAGAATCTCAAAAAAATCATAGACACTAATTCAGACCCAAAAAGAAAGAATTTGATGTCAGATTGAAGAAAAAACCCTTTCCCTGGATTTTCAAAATCAGCGGTTCACTCGATGCAGTAGGCTCATACGGGTCGAAAAATAATTTTTTCCTGATGGCCCTAAGAATCTCAAAAAAATCATAGACACTAATTCAGACCCGCAAAGAAAGAATTTGATGTCAGATGCAAGAAAAAACCCTTTCCCTAGATTCTCAAAATCAGGGGTTCACTCGATGCAGTAGGCTCATACGGGTCGAAAAATAATTTTTTCCTGATGGCCCAAAGAATCCCAAAAAAATCATAGACACTAATTCATACCCAAAAAGAAAGAATGCAGTGGGCTCATACAGGTACGATTTGCCGTATGGTAGCATTATGTCACCGTTATGTCACCGTAGACGTCATCTGTCTGAATCGACCAATAATGAGCGCAGCTGCTTTCTATCACGTGACGAGCGAGTAATTAGTGCCGATTTAATGATTGCGACGAGACCCCTTTTGGCACCCCTTCGTGGGGTTGTGGGGTGGCACGATCATATCGTCAAGACGTCGATTGGAATTAATTTGTTATGGGGTGATTGATGGTGGTGGTGAAAAAGGTTTCAACAGCCCGATGGGAAACGTTATTATTTCACTTTCGATGACGTTTGACGCTTTCAATTTGTTCGGAATAATATTTTTGATCAAAGAGTTAGTTACCTATATGACCGTGTGGAATTGAATATACGAGGGGATCAAATCTAATACGCTGAATGAATAATTATCTCGAAAAAAATCAGGAGTTGATTACTCGTTCAACTTTCCTTTTGAGTTACAGGATGTTGAAAATTAGAAGTGCCAATTGTTTTTTGTATATGATTTCCCCCCTGTATAAGTTTTCATGGTACCATAATTGACTGATGAAATCTCAAAATTTCACAATGATAATTATTGATTTTCTTGAGTTATATCAATGTGTGTCTTGAGAGCACGTATTTTATTAGTCTATGAATTGGATGCAATCTACACTAATAATATAAAGAGGAAAAATTTCATTGTATGTTTGTATTGAATAGGCTCCGAGCTACTGGATCGATTTAAAATGGTATATTATGTAACAAGTGTTATAAACGTCATTTCAGTAACGAGTATTTTGAGCACAAGCGCAGCAGAGCTGTTCAATTCTCAAGATGAAATTTTCCATTAATAGGAAAAAATAGGGAAAATCTGACACTTTAGGAATATTCGTCAAACTGTATCATATTGATGTGCTGAATTGTATGTTTCGAAAACATCTAGTATATAGGCAGACGAAGAGTAGAAAATCACTGTAGCTTTTTTGTAATATTTTGTTTCATATACTTCTGACATGGCAATATATTATTTCATTATGCTCTACGTCAAAAAGGTGCTCTCGTTTTCGGACCCATGCTAAAATGAACTTTTTTCCTTGTTTCTGTTTGGGAATCAGCTCACGAGAGATTTCGGTGGGGTTCAAAATCACCCTGAATATCACGTATACCCACTATGAATACGTCATGTCGTATCCAACGTCCATGAAAATCCAGACCTCGCCAATAAATATCCTTCCTGAAAATGTTGCCAGGACATAACTTTCGTGTATTTACACCTTACACCATCAATGTACACCTCTTTGAATGTCGACCACACCGTCTTGAAGTAGCGTACTCATTTTTTGCCCAATTTCCAAGATGAAACCCCTTAATGAGGAAAAATAGGAAATATCTGACAATTCAGGAATATTCGTCAAACTGTATCATATTGATGTGCTCAATTGTTTGTTTCAAAAACACCTAGTATATAGGCCGATGAATAGTGAAAAATCACTGTAGCTTTTTCCTGAAATGTTGTTTCAAACTCCTCACATGGCATTATAATATTCTAAACTTCTTTCTTTATTCCTGTTTGGGAATTAGCTCACGAGAGATTCCGGTGGAGTTCAAAAATACCCTGAATATCACGTATACCCACTTTAAATGTCCTATCAAACGTCCTTGAAAATCCAGCCCTCGCCAATAAATATCCTTCCTGAGAATCTTGCCAGGACATAACTTTCGTGTAGACCATCAATGTACACACCGCCCTAGTAATAAAGTACACCTCCCTCTTTGAATGTCGACCACACCGTTATCGCTATATATACTACCTTTTTGTGTGCCTGCTTGGCTCGATTCCAAATTACTAGATTTGAATAATTGATTCATTTCTAAGCCAGGTCCTACAAGAATCATATTCTGATGATCAATGAATAATTATTCCCAGTTCGATAGTCACCGCATTATTTCTCGTTGAAAACCATAAAGAAGTGTCAAATAAAAAGTAAAAACAATTACAAATTCGACCTTCTCTATATAAATAAAGAAAATTCAACTAGCGCAGTAAGCACATCCTTTTGTCGTTAGCTTCAAGATGTGTCAAACAACACTGTCTGCCAGATAAGATAAGATAAGATAAGATGAATTTATTCGTCAATCAAAGATTATACAAGGTATAGGTCATACACAATGTACAAAACTTATCAGAATAGTCAAACGAAATGTTCACAAATAAATACAATGCTAAAATAAATACAATGCTAAAATAGTGTACCTATAGGTAAAGTCACAAAGACAAAATATAAAACACTCATACATACACATTAGAAACATTGACAATATTTGAAGTATTCCCAAGAACTTATATCTCCGAAAGTTTAAAAAAATCCAATTGAATCGAACTTCTGGAGATTATATGTTGTTGGGTAATGAATTCCAGAGCCTAGCCGTTCTATGGATGAAGGAGTTTTGATAAAGTGCTGCTCGACATCTTTCGAGGTTGACAACGAAAGGATGTGCTGACTGGGCTTGTCTAGTTCGTTTGCCTAATGCATATAACTCTGAAAAATCACCCTGTATCGATAGGTGAATTAGTCTTGGGTGGTATCGATCTTCTTTTAGTCAAATAACCGTGAAAATGTTCTTTTGAAGAGTTTTAGAAATAAAACACACTATTTTTGTGACATTTTACAAAAAAATCGTATTAATAGAACAGTGTGATCAATCAATGAAAATTTGAAACCATTTCGAGATTATGACATCGTGAGATGATATACTGAAATCCATATAGGCCGATGAATAACATTGTTTTTTTTTTCAGGAATGTCCTGAAGGAGTTGTTCATGAGGATAGTTTTAAAGAAATATATTCAAAATTTTTTCCACATGGAAGTAAGTATTCCTAGTTCATTTTTATTATTAATATTCTGAATCTGATAGTTATCAACGATATTTCTACTAATTCAACTGAGAATGACAATGATGATGAAATTTTAGTAGCAGTAGAAAACCACATATTGTTGAGATATGACCTATTTTGAGTTATTAACTGTATATGGTATAGGTAAAAACACAATAATGTTTCGTAACAATACCAACATTGTTTCAATATTACACTGAGTGCATACCTATTATTATGGATACATCTACATGAACAACAGGATATAGTGAAAATTGAAATGTTCAGAATAGCATGCTGGAAGTAATAACATTGTTTAGAACTGTCACGCATATTCCATATCATTTCATTGTTATAGGAGAAAAAGAATTTCTGATAAGTGTCTGGGAAAAGCAACATGCTAGGCTAGTGTGAATTCAATCACTCCCAAGTCGATAAAAGTTTAGAGGAAAAAAGTAATTTAAAAAGTAGGTTATGGAAATTATATAGTCCACACTGAGTCGAAGTATTGAGAAAGTAGATTTATTGATTGAATGACAACATTATTCTTAGTTGAAAGAAAATTGAGGCCTTCAGAATTCATTTATTTTCCTCCTAACCTATAAGCTTGATGATAACCTCTACGGGTCGAAACATGTAGCAACAAGATTTGCATTCGATTTCATATTTGAAGTGGAACTTTTTCTCTAGATAATGTACCTACTATTTCATTTCACTCGAGATCTCGCATTTCCTTGGTAATTAAATTTCATTGTAGTTTTTCTTTTCCAGACGCTAGTTTATATGCACACTACGTGTTCAAGGCCTTTGATGTTAACTGTAATGGAGCAATTAGTTTCAGGGTAAGTTAATCCTCTTATTTCTAAGAATATTATTTTTCCGTCGACCAAGTACTAACGAGTAAGTTTAATGTTTATGGAATTGATCATTAAAGACTTCTATTAATCATTGAAGACTTCTATTATTGATCAATTTGTCTATTAATGCACGCTTGTAGTATAGGCAACTAAACATACACCGCGACTATTCACTGTTGTTTTTGCTATAACTTACTTAAAAAATATAATCGACGGAAAAAAATTGTAAACAATTCGTATATCACATAATTTTTTTCAACTGTTCTATCTGATTAAATACGAATGAGGATGCAATGGCCCAAATCATAGTTTTGGAATTTCCTTCCCTCTATCTGAATATCAAAACGGATTCATTTTTTTTCGCATATGATACAAAAATCACATCTTCCATAAGACCCTCAAATATAGTTTAGTTGGTAGATTAGCGGGATGAATGACGGCATGGCGAAAATTACGCAACTTGGCGCATTTTTACAGGGTTGTACTAACCTACATTTGTAAATTGAATACACATACAGGTGGAAATGATACTGTGATCACTGGAAAAATGAGTGCTCCCACCAATTTTTATACCGATAAATCAACTCCTCCGCAGAAAACGCTATTTGACGATGATGAGAGTCATTTTGACATCGACAAATAAGGATGCACCTTCTTTATCAACAGTGAAAACACAAAAGCTTTTTCTTCATCGGGTAATCTTCACTTGCTAACGAAAAACATTTGCTAATCACTAATTTTACGAGAAAAACTGAAATAATGAGAGGGGAATTTCATCCTATGTCAGTTTTCCGAACGGAATTACTGATGTAAAATGTATCCATTAAACAAATTTCGAAACCATCATAGAAATTTCGACACCAAACACAATATTTTTAAAAATTGTATAGTTTAAATAGTTTTTTCAATGACGTTAATAATTGTAGTTGTTCATTTATATGTTGTCATTGATTTATCTTGCTGAAACACACTTGAACTTGTTTTTAATCGGATAAGTTTCCTTGCTAACTCAAACATTTTCCATCAGTATAATCAAACATTGAACAAAATTGCTCGACCTACCGTCTCGCAATTTTTTCATGTCAGTTTTTCTCGTGAAATTACTGATTGGCAAATGTTTTAAGTTAGCAAGAGAAATTTATCCGATGAAAAAAGCTCTTGTGTTCTTACTGTTGATAAAAAACGATTCCACTAACTGATACAGCAACAAAAAACGAGTGCCTTCACCAAATTTTGAAGTTTCTGTACCGATAAGTATGATATCGATTAAAAAAAAAACCATCCATCGAGAATTACTGTAGCAGTGGGTTATTGTTTGGTATCGATAATAAAAACAATTCAGCTGATGATGGAACAAAAAATAAGTGGCTTCACCAGAAATTTTGAGTTTTTGTACCAAAGATATGTTGTTTGATTTCGATATCAAAAAAATTACAACTGAATGAGGAACATGAAATAAGTGCCTCCACTGGAATTCGAATTTTCTGTAGCAAAAATTTACTCTTGTTTGGAATCGAACAGAAAAAAACGATCCAACTGATATAAGAACAGAAAATATGTGCCTCCACCAAAATTTGAAATTTTTGTACCATAAACTTGCGATTGTTTGGTATCTCTAGAAGAAAACCGATAACAAGAGATAAGTTCTTCCACCAAATTTCAAAGTTTCTGTACCGATTAGTTATTCTTAATAAAATATTGAAGTTGAATATAAGTGCATCCACCAAAATTTTAAGTTTCTGTAGCTATAAGTGCATCCACCAAAATTTAAAGTTTCTGTACCAATAAGTGCATTCACCAAAATTTGAATATTCTGGTCCAAAACCTTGGTATTGTTTGGTATCTTATGGTGTCTGCAAAAAAAACGATAACAAGAGATAAGTGCATCCACCTGATTTCTAAGTCCCTGTACCGATAAGTTATTCTTAATAAAATATTGAGGTTGAAAATAAGTGCATCCACCAAAATTAAAAGTTTCTGTAACAATGAGTGCATTCACCAAAATTTGAATATTTTGGTCCAAAAATTTGGTAATGTTTGGTATCTCCTACAAACAGCGTGGCTCTGGAACACATTGCCAAGGGAGGTGTTCCTTGAGGCATATAATCTCCAGAAATTTGAGAAGAACACCAATTCCAACCTCATTTCCCTTGGTTCTCACGATGTTCTCTGAACATTACAGGATATCCCTTTTCGTGGGAACCAGACCAAAAAATGGAACCAATAACAATAGATAGGTGCCCCCTCCAAGTTTCAAAGTTTTTGTACCGATAAGTTTGTTTGTTTGATATCGACCTAAAAAAAGTACAAAGTAAGAGCCTCCACCTAAATTCTCGCAATTATGGGAAGACTTCTCCTGATAAAATTTGCCAATTGACCATATATGAATATTCTCCAAGCACACCTGATTTTCCGGAACTAAAATGATTATGTTCGAGAATAGTTTCCATGAAGCAAAGCTGAACCCAAAGAATAAAAATCAAAGATGATTTTGATGTCCATTTCTGGGACTGAATTGTTCATATTCGCTCTGACACCCATAGCAAACGATAGATCCGATCAAACTTCAGGATATTGCCGGCGCAATAAATCTGAAACTTGGTCGACGTTAGTTTTTCCTACGGAAAATCCAATTTCCCACTGAATCAACGTGAACATGAACAATGCTCCAGGAGAGGCCGCCGAGTATTTCATCCGATCTAATACTGAGTCGCGCGGTGCCCTAATTTATTGCCTTCATGTCGGTAGCCAGATTACTTTCTGGACGATCCAGATGAGGCCAGACCATCGCCAGATATCCATACAGACAAATCGTTCGCACAGAATCAATTCGGTAATTCATTGCTTCCGGATGAGCGAATCCTGTCGATGGATCACCAACGATGACATATTCAATTCCTGCGAAATTTGAATTGATGAACTATGATCTGAAACGCATGTGGCCAGGCTTTCGAAACGTATAATCGAAAATTATCAGAGGTAGTAAATATGACGAGTCTTACAAATTTTGGCGATTATTCCACTCACTTCGAAACACACGTTCTTGATTGGTTGGCATATTTTTTTGATAATCAAAAACATCATGTTTCCTTTTTTGTATCTTGGCTGTTGAATGGTTTTGCCTCGAATTGAAAATAATAGTTATTTTTGTATCGAGTGCGCAAAATGCTACTTTGGTGATCGACACCCAGTTAAAAAAATTGTCGCGCACGAGTTGCAAACAAATTTTTTTCAATAAAAGTGAAAGAACATAGTTCTAAAGTAGTAATAGGCTTAGCTCTATATGAAAAATAGTGTTGAACTCGCCTAATATAGGTTAAACATTCATGAATTATTTCTTGGATGTTTTGATCGATTGAGGATCATAAAACTCAAATACAAAAATCTCATATAGTTTACATACAATGCGCGAATTATGTACATGTATATGTATGTATATGACAACATGAATATGGACTTGGCAACAATTCTCCAATGTGGATCCAATAACTTGGTAGATTTCAATGCAAACAAAACACAAGCATGCCTTTTCTCTAGAAAAGCCGATCTCACTGTGCCCAACATAAGCTTGTCAGAAGTAACCATACCTTTCAAAACATCCATTTTGATGCTTTGTATTACTATCAGCACTTTCTTGGGAAAATCAAGTGAGATCAATTGCGAAAAGTGCATCCCAAAAACTTGGTTTTCTGTTTCGAGCCAGGAGCTATTTCACCTCCAGTCAGCTGCTTATGATCTATAAGGCACAGATCCGACCTGTCCTGGAATACTGTTCCCATATTTGGAGTGCAGCACCCAAACATACCTTGAAACTGTTGAATACTGTCCAAAAAAGGGCAAATCGTCTCGTGGGTGATGCCTCGCTCACAAACTCACTTACTTCTCAAAAATTGTTTCTCCCTTGGCAGTCTCCGCGAGATTAGCCCGTCGAGTTGAGGCTTCGTACCCCTTCGTCGTTACTTTGGAGACCTGCAGAACATCTCTTTCCAAAGACTCGTTCATCCAACGAACAGCGAGGCTCTGGAACACATTGCCAAGGAAGGTGTTCCCCGAGGCATATAACCTTCAGAAATTTAAGAAGAACACCAATTCTTATCTCATTTCTCTTGGTTCTCACGATGTTCTCTGAACATTACATGATATATCTTCTCGTGGGAACCAGAACATAAAAAAAAATGTACTTCATCTACATCGATACTGAAAAAAAGTATCACTTCTCAAATTGTTATCAATGCGCGAACCTCGTCAAAAAAAATGTCTGATGAAATTGACGAATAAGTTGTATTTGGAAAGATTACTTCGATGAAGAGGCAATTCACTTAATCACTAGCAAATTTTACAAAACAAATTAATTCTCCTTCCCTCGGTGGCTGAAATCAGATAAGCGAAGATGATAAAAACGATAGAAAATTAAAGAAAAAAACGAGGAAAAACAAGGAAAAAGCAGAAAAATCAGCGAAAAATAGTGTTCTCAGGATGAGAGATTGAAAAAATATGCAAATCACTCTGTATAATAGAACCGAGACATCAAGTTCGGCTCACTCTGTACAGTCTTGTCGTCGTCATTAGGACAAAAAATATACTCGCATTATGTGTCGACGATAAATGGAAAAGTGCTGTAAGTCAAATTGGATTCCATGTTAACATCTAATCGAATTGTATTAGTGGGAAGAGAATCCAAACAACCTCTATTGGTGAAGCCCTTTTCAATTTTTATCTGGAACAAGATAATCCTTCTTCCTCACATACGAACCGCATTTCCCTCAGATTTCCCATTATTCAGAATTCTGAATAAATTGATGAATACCTTCTTCGAAAATCGATACAGTTCGTTTCACCAAACTGAAATATTCCACCGAAATTTGCAGCTCGTAAATGAAGAAAAAAATCTTTATAAATAGAAAACGGAAACTTCCCTGCTACTTTGTGAACTCTGATGAATGAACAACCCACTATACGGTAGTTTTCAGAATTCCCCCATTAGGGAACAATACTCTTCGGTATCGAATGGATTCGCTTTGAGAGAGAAAAATCGCCTGTCTCGAATGAACCGTGGCACTGTTAAGTGGTAATGTCGACTGGTTTCAGGACTTATTGATATCACTTTCGACGCTATAACGGGGATCGGTATACGAGAATTGGAGAAAAAATTGAGATGTTTCACATTCACTTTTTGGACCCACTTTTCTGTGCCCCCTGTAAATTATGCAGTGGTTGTGATTGTGGTCAGTGATTTGTTCAACTTTCGGTATTCAAGATTCGATCACTGAGGCATTTCACTAAAAATGGCGTATGTTGTATGTTCGATACGCTATAATATATGTCACTTTTTCTAGAAAAACTCGAATTACTCCAAAATGGTTCATTTTAGGTATAGGGTATGATATATGAATTTGAATCAGAATCATGATAGGAATTGAAAAAATTTATGGAATACAGGGTGGTCCATTTAAATCAACAAAGATGACGCCACTTCCGGAAAAACCGGAAGCATCACAATGAGGAAGATATTTTATTTTACTTGATTATTTGTGATATTTTCTCCTTGATCATATAAAATGAACATATGAGTATTATTTCAATGTACAGGGTGGCCAACTAAGACTCCAGAGTTCGATTTCTCTGTTGTCTTGAGAGATACAAAAAAATTCATGGATCAAAATTGAAGTAATAACCGAGCTTCACATTTAAAAATTTCTTTGAAATACACAGGGTGTTCCGTAAGGTCACAGCACATCAAAGCTATGTTTTTTTCATTGGAAAACTCTATATTTTTTTTCATTTTTGAAATCTCCCTGACGATCTGATTTCAACGACGCATTATACTTAGGGTCTAGCAGTGAAAGTTACTGACATATAGGATGTGCAAAATCGATATTTTCCAAGTTCAGGATTTTTTTCTGTCGAAACTGTTCATTATTCGTCAAAACGATTTACATGTCCCTATCTCAATTTTTCACTCACTATCAATTGGTGTTCAATTGAAATTGATACAAGGTGGTCAAAAAATCTAAATTTATAATTGTTTTCAATTAAATGTCAAAGCAACGCAAGCGCGCATGCCCTAAATATGGACTATCGAAGCAATTACCTTACAAATTCGTTGTTTACAATTTACATAAAGAGCTAACATTTCGAATTTCATAATTTTTTCTGATCTGGAAGAGACTGGGTTACTCATATTCTCAATTATTCTGTTGATTGCAATTGTTTTATGTTGAAACAAATTTCATAACATCTGTCAGATATCAGGTCTGACATTGGTCTGACCAATCCATGCCTTCTCTACCAGTTGATGAAACCAATCCGCGATCATCTGCAGAAGAAAACCTGGTTCAATCAAAGTGAGAAAGTTAAAAGTTGGCCAACTTCTTACTTGTTACTTGTTAATTGATAATTGTTAAATGTCTGTATAAACACCTTCATCGAAAACAGGGAGTTCAACTTTTAATTGCTATACTTGTTAAATGATAAATGTTACTTGATAATTGTTAAATGAGGCTACATAAATCCACCTTTACATTAACGGTGTCTATATAGAGGGTGTATGATCTTTGGTGGTAATGTGGACTTGTTTCAGGACTTATTGATATCGCTGTCGACGCTGTTACGGGGGTCGGTGTACGAGAGACTCCGTTGGACCTTTAAACTCTATGACGTGAACGGAGACGGCTGCATCAGCAGAGGCGAACTATCAGAGATTGTGGTAGCGGTCCACGAACTGATGGGCAGGAGAGCTCACCAAGTAAGAGCATATTCAGTCATATTCACTGTACATTCAGCCAACTTTGGCTTCATCTCAAGTTTCGATGCTTGGTATTACTATCAGCAATAACCTTTCTTGGGAAAATCACGTGAGATCAATTGCTAAAAACTTGGTTTTCTGTTTCGGGCCAGGAGCTAATTCACTTCCAGTCAGCTGCTTATGATCTATAAGGCACAGATCCGACCTGTCCTGGAATACTGTTCCCATATTTGGACTGCAGCACCCAAACATACCCTGAAACTGTTGGATTCTGTCCAAAAAAGGGCAATTGGACTCGTGGGTGATGCCTCGCTCACAAGCTCTCTCACTTCTCTGTATCACCGTAGAAAAGTTGGCGATCTGGCTCTATTTTAAAGATAATTTCATGGACGATGCTCTTCTGAAATATCAACAATTGATCCTCCCTTGGCAGTCCCCACCCGTCGAGTTGAGGCTGCGCACCCCTTCGTGGTCACTTTGGAGACCTGCAGAACATCTCTTTCCAAAGACTCGTCCATCCATCAATGAACAGCGAGGATCCGGAACAAATTGCCAAGGGAGGTGTTCCCCGAGGCATATAACCTCCAGAAATTCAAGAAAAACACGAATTCCTACCTTATTTCCCTTGGTTCCCACGATGTTCTCTGAACATTACAGGATATCCCTTTACGTGGGAACCAGAACATGCAAAAAAAAAGTTTCAGCCTCAGTCATAGTCTCAGTCTAGGCATGTTCTTTTTTACACCACATTTCCATCATTGATAGAAGTGACGTCACTCTCTGATGCATCGAATTGTTGGAGTCACCAGTGTTGATGAAAAAACTTAGTTATTTGACATGGCAATCATATCTGTTTTCTCCTTTATTTATTTTTCCTTTAGTGATTTGATCAGGATTTAGATTAGATAGAAGCTCAGATTGGCGAAAACTAATGTAAAATGGAATATTATAATGTATTAAAAGTGTTATTGGAGTCCTTTTCTCCAGATCCAAAAGTTCTAGCAGTTCTCCTGATAGTTCCGAGGATGAAATGTTGTTTATGTTGAGGAGTCGACGAGATAGGTTGAGAATTTTCAACAACCTATACAAAATATTGCATTAAATCATGATGATATGTATAAAGTCATCAATAAGAATTCTTTGTTGGTACTCAACTTTCCTGAATGTTTGCACTAATTTCTCGAAATTCATGATGGGAATGAAAAAAGTACCTATACCACTCGAAGTTTCTTCAATTTCTGTTGGTGATAATGCAGCTATTCTTTTATTTTAATATTCTAGGCTGATTTCTATTAATTCATCCATATATTTTCTTAGGCAAATGGCAAACAGCTTCCAAATCCGATATTTTGTTTTTAGTTTTTTGAGGTTATTCTGTCGCTGTCATTTCAAAATCCACCAAAATTCGTCCACCATCTTCGTACATCGGTGGAATGGTTTCAGAATTTATGTCACATTCCCCCTCCCCTTCCCCCTCCCTGTGGACGCCACTGTTTAGTACATCGCTTGCCTAATAGTCCAGGTGTTCCCAGTAATTACGAAAGGAGGGTTCATTTAGGCCGAGTCCGGTTAGGTTGTTTAGAAACAGTAGTCTCTATTGTTCTCTCGAGTAATTTTCCGATGTACATACTATCTAGGAAGAAGGTTCATTTAGACCGAATCAGGTTAGATTATTTAAGAAAAGTAGTCTCTTGTTTTTTGCCCATGCAGAAAGGATATTTTCCTTCCTCAACCTTCCTGCAAGCAGTGTAACGACTGAAAACGAAGTTCACACTTTTTGCCTGCAATACGTGAAATGGCTAAACATTTCAGGGAATGACGGATTTCATCAAATATGTTTCTCTCATGTTATAAGTCCGATCTGAATATAATTCGATCAATTGATATTTCGATCAAATGATATTTCGATTAATTGATGTTCGATCAAGTGATTTCGATCAAATAGTTTTCGATCATATTTCCGGCAACCCAAATTATACAGGTAATTTTTTATTAGACAATCTCTATGATATGCGAAAACTTCAGCATTTTTCCCGTATGACGGCAACTTTATGAATGACACTGTAAATACAATATATTCTCTTGTTTTCCTTCAAGGTGGAAGATGACCGCAAGGCCCGCGAACAAATCGACAGAGTCTTCCGGAAGTTGGACCTCAACCAAGATGGCGTCATCACCATCGAGGAGTTCATGGAGTCCTGCCTCAAGGATGACGTCATCACTAGGTCCTTGCAGATGTTCGACGCTGTCCTGTGATAATCACTCGAAAAACATCCCGGCGAGACTGTCATTCAGACTGAGTGTTGTGGGGGTATAGTGTTGGTATTAGCGATCGGTAGAAGGTGAGCCATTGTTGGCTAGAAGAAAACAGTATTTGATAAGGAGGGATGGAAATAATTTAATGTCAAGGCAGCCAGGCCCGGATTTACCTATTTCAGCAGACTAGGAACTTCAAAATTGTGTCTAGCTTTTTGAGATGCAAGATCTTATATCATCTTCTCAAAAGTAATATTATTTCGTTATATCTGCTTTTATGGATAGAATTGAAGACAACTCTCTCTGGTCTCATGGTGGAAACTCGAAGGTTTATTTTTACCACATACATGCTTTTTTATTATTTGATGTTGCAAATACAAATATAAATTCATTATTTCAGATTTTTTGGGATTTTCTCTCCTCGTTTCTATAAAATGAAAATATGAAAATTATTTCAATATACGTGTAGTGAGGACAAATCAAATGATTTGCCCCAAAAAGTCACTGCGTTTAAAGAATTTTCCTATCAGAGAGCCTAGAATAAAAATTCACCAGTCAGTCAGTCAGTCAGTCAGTGACAATTTGTATTGAAAAAAGTTTGCAGAAGATGAATAAAGGCTTTGACGTATCGGGAACGAATCTGCTCCCGTTTTTTTCAACATGAAAAATGGATTTTTTGCATTGCAAATTCGTATTTGTCCTGACACTTTTCAGTTCTCAGTGACAATTGGTGGCGTTGGCAATCAAATGAGTTACAGGATGTTTTCATTAATTGATCTTGAATTTACCATTTTCATTTTCAGATATCAATAATGAATACCATGTTCTATCTATATCAACTGAACAGGAAGCAATGCTATTGTCTCCGTTCAGAAGAATGCAAGCAGATTCCTTGATTTTTCTCTTCTGGTTGTTATCTTTTTTTCCAATGAAAAGTATCAGGACAAATACGAATTGGCGATACAAAAAAATCCGGATTCGTTCCCGGAACGTCCAAAGCTAAGTAAAAATCTGATATTTTTTCTATATACCTTTATTTCTCTTCTCCAAACTTTTTTCAATACAAATTGGCACTGACAAGCTGGTGAATTTTTCTTTCAGGCTCTCTGATAGAAAAATTCTTTGAACGCAGTGACATCTTGGGCAAATCATCTGATTTGTCCCTACTACACGTATATTGAAATAATATTCATATCTTTATTTTATAGAAACGAGGAAAGAAAATCCCAAAAAATCTGGAACAATGAATGTACCACCTCCTCGATTAACCTACAGACAGTATTCAACAAATATAAATTATTTATTGCTGTGCCACTGCATGTAAATTTGGTAATAATGTGGTTATTGCCTAACGTGTATAAGTTAACGAATTGGAACTTGATCTGTATCAACAAAATACATACGAACTCTGTTCGCTTTTTCTGCATGACATTCATATTGTACACTACATATAGGGTGTCCCAACAAGAGCGCCGGAGTTGAATTTCCGCCATTTTGTTAACGCGAGTTGTACGGTGATTTTTTTTTTGTCAGTTATCACGTGCAGTCCACGTGATTTGAAAATATGGAAAACAACTCAAACAAATGACGCTAAATTACTGTAAGAACATTTTACAAAACTGCGAAAACAGTTTGTCAATGACATAATTATTTGGTCTTAAATTTTGTGATATCTTCCTTGGAAATCTAGACCAGTGCCTGGTCGGCCTTATGGTAAATCCGGGCCTGAAGGTAGCCTCCTTATATTTTTCTATCTATCTGAAAATGTTCGGGTGAATTAGGTCAAAAGGTTGGTCAGTAATGATGTGAAACGAAATTAAGAAGTTTGAATGAGAAATTAAACGATATAGTGGGAGCCTGGGAGTTGGTAAATACCCAGGAAACATTTCTGTTGAGATAGGGATAGGGATATACATACCTACCTTCTTTTGGACGAAATATCAATAGCAAATCATTGAAAAGTATACAGAAGTTTAGACTACTCAATTAAACTGGTCAACATCAATAAAGTCGTAGTCCAAAATATAGCCTGAATTCAAAGTAGAATAACTTACGAATTTCCTTTCCAATTTGAAATTGGTTTTCACCCATTATTAGCTTGTTTCCTTTCCTTCCTTTGTTTTTATTTACCTACTCCAAGAACAAATATACTATTGAAATCTCCAATTCATTCGATGTGCAAAAAGTTCAATCAGATATGCGAAAAAACTGATATATTTTCAACTCCCATTGGAGTGTTCAAAAAGGAAATAAAACATATTTTTTCTACCTTGTGATGTTTACGAGGCGAATATGAAAAAATCCCTCTTTATTTATATGTTATTCATTAATACATGTTATTATGTTTCCTTCCGTTTTCTTTTTTTTTATTATCATTATTATTTACAATTGAAATCACTTTCTACAACTACTGAATGATTTATCAAAATACTTTATTTGGCTCTTAGATTTTAGTAATTGTTCACAGTTACATGTACACATTGTAAAAAGCTGTCCTGTAAGTGGGTCTTGTACCTGTTTGGGCAATAAACAGTTTTTTTTTCTTTTCGTTCTCTTGACAGTTTGTGGTGGCAATATGGAACTTTTGTGATACCAGATAACATTGCTACAGGGTGATGATTGAATGGGTGTGAAGTTGCATCGTGGTCGACGCCTTTCCGTTTGAACAGATTTTTTTTCTCTCACCTGTATCCTGTTGATTGATTCTTTCTCTCCATCTCGGAATTTTCAAATTCATAGCTTTGATAATCGTGTTATGAATTTCCATTCACAATGAACCATTTTCTTGACGATCAATTGAGGAAAATTGGAAGTTTTGTTTGGCTAGGCTACGAATATCATATATCCGGAGACTATACATACAAGGTTGATTCTCCAAAAAAAAAATTTCATCTTCCAATTGTATTCAATTGATCGTCGAGAAAATGCATCATTTTGAATGAATATTCATAACACGACTATCAAAGCTCTTATTCCGGCTCTATACCCATTGAATTATCACCTTGTAGCAACCTCACCTGAGATCACAGAAGTTTCATATTGCCATCTTAAACTGTCAAGAGATGAGGCTAATCATCAGTGAAAACCGATTTCAAATTGGTATTATTATACCCTGATGTGGGACACCCTGTACATACAAGACGGTATGACATGCAGTGGAATCGTAATGGAGAATTACAAATGATTATGCTGTTTGTGTGCCTTCGCTGATTGTACAGACAGATTATCATCATTGCCTGATTGCTAGCAATAATTGGAATCGGCTCAATCGACTAGATCGAATATGAGTTTGATCAAACGGAAATACGTTACCAGCATTTACCAATTCGTATTTTCAACTCAATAAATACATTATAGTGTGAGGGATCATTGCGAATAATTTTAATCGCACAATATAAATTCTTCATTTACCTGAATTCAAAATTTTGAAAACGCATATGTAACCGAAAATTGAATTGACTTCTTTTTTTAAAGGAAGACAGGCCAAGAAGTTCTGCCAGGAAGAGCGGCAACCTTATTTGAATATATTTTTCTCATGATTGCCCAAAAATTAAAAAAATATTCATAGACACTAATTCAGGTCCATTGAGAAAGGTTTTGGTGTCAGATTTGATGAGGAACTCTTTCTTCAGATTTTCAAAATTGGCGGTTCAAGCAATGCAGTAGGCTCATATAGGTGGAAAAATATTTTTTTTCTGATTGCCCCAAAAAATCCCAAAAACTTCATAGACACTAATTCAGACCCATAATGAAAGAATTTGATGTCAGATTTGATAGATAACTCTTCCTTTAGATTTTCAAAATCAGCGGTTCAAGCAATGCAGTAGGCTCATATAGGTGGAAAAATATTTTTTTCCTGATTGCCCTAAAGATCCCAAAGAATCCATAGACACTATTCTAGACCCGTAAAGAAAGAATTTGATGTCAGATTTGATAGATAACTCTCCCTGTAGATTTTCAAAATCAGCGGTTCAAGCAATGCAGTAGGCTCATATAGGTGGAAAAATATTTTTTTCCTGATTGCCCTAAAGATCCCAAAAAATCCATAGACACTAATTCAGACCCATAAAGAAAGACTTTGATGTCAGATTTGATAGATAACTCTTCCTTCAGATTTTCAAAATCAGCGGTTCAAGCAATGCAGTAGGCTCATATAGGTGGAAAAATATTTTTTTCCTGATTGCCCTAAAGATCCCAAAGAATCCATAGACACTATTCTAGACCCGTAAAGAAAGAATTTGATGTCAGATTTGATAGATAACTCTCCCTGTAGATTTTCAAAATCAGCTGTTGAAGCAATGCAGTAGGCTCATATAGGTGGAAAAATATTTTTTTTCCTGATTGCCCTAAAGATCCCAAAAAATCCATAGACACTAATTCAGACCCATAAAGGAAGACATTGATGTCAGATTTGATAGATAACCCTTCCTTTAGATTTTAAAAATCAGCGGTTCAAGCAATGCAGTAGGCTCATATAGGTGGAGAATATTTTTTTTCTGATTGCCCTAAAAATCCCAAAAACTTCATAGACACTAATTCAGACCCATATAGAAAGAATTTGATGTCAGATTTGATTGAGAACTCTCCCTTCAGATTATCAAAATCAGCGATTCAAGCAATGCAGTAGGCAAAAAATAGGTCGAAAAATATTTTTTTCCTGATTGTCCTAAGAATCCCAAAAAATTCATAGACACTAATGCAGACCCATAAAGAAAGAATTTGATGTTAGATTTGATAGAGAACTCTCCCTTCAGATTTTCAAAATCAGCGGTTCAAGCAATGCAGTAGGCAAAAAATAGGTCGAAAAATATTTTTTTCCTGATTATTTATAGCTACTAATTCAGGTCGAAACATATTTTATCCATGATTACCCTAAAAATCTCAAAATTTTCACAGACACTTTCAGAACTCTTTCTTCAGATTTTTAAAATTAGCGGTTCACGTAATGCAGTAGAGGCTCATACAGGTCGAAAAATATTTTTTACCTGATTGCCCTAAGC